CAAGTTCGATTGTGCCCCCCCCCCCCCCCAATGTTAAAGTTCTACGTCCACCCAGGATCACTTGGATGAATTGGAATCCGATAGTTTTAGAAAATATTTAGAATTTAAGTCGATGTTCATTCTAATCTTATTGTAGGAATTGATTGCCAAAATAATTTTTGTATTTATGATATTGAGCATTATGTTTTTGTTAAAACTTTAAAGAATGCATTATTTAACTTACTTATGTATATGGTTCGTATAAGAGCGTGACGTATCTTCTTATAATGCTTGATGCTCGATTGAAATGCATTGTCACGCATTGAGGTTAGTCGAAGTAAAAACAAGATGACAAGATCAAATAGAGAGTGAGCTTTTTACCCTATTTTACCCATCCATGGAAAAGGTCGAGGGTCAATCAAAGAGCGGATCTTTGTCACAAAGGGGATGGTGAAATTGACATCGGAAAATGAAACAAATCCTTTTCTTTTCTTTTTTTTTTTTCTTTTTAATCTGTAGAGAAGGAAAACAAATCTCACTTATCAAGCAAATATTACAATTCACATTCTCCTAGGTGAGAATTGCATTGGCATTGAAATCGGACGCTGTTTCAGACCGCTCATTGTCTTCATCGCATCATTCTTTTGTACAGATTTTCTGCCCTTCAAAGGCGACACTAACCTGTTTGCAATTCTTGATGGTGAAAATGACCTTCGAAGCTTTGCTGCAGCCGACACCTTTGGTGATTTTTTCCCAATATTTGTTGCTGCTCGTGGAGATGAAATAGAAAGCAGGGGGCTCCTAATTTTCACTTGAAACTTTGATGCAGAAGGCGGGGGGGACTTGATCAAAAACTTGTGCGGAACTTGTTTATTACTTCCAATGACTGGTGACTTAGTCTTACAAAACTTCTGATGCTGTGATGTTGGTGATGAATGGAACAGTGGATTGGGAAATAATACCGTCTTTCTAGCCCATGGTCTATTCCTTGGGGACACTCTGTTAGCAATGTATCTGCAATTTTCTTTGTCACACTTTATCTTTTGTGTGGGAGACACCTTGAAGTTTATTCGGGATTTAGCTCGTTGGAGAGATGGTTTATCTGATTCTGATCGTATTGTTTGTAATGCCACTTTTTTTTCTCGCTTTCTTCGTGCTTAGAGTTGGCTGTTTTCTGGGTTTGCCGGCCTTTGGTTTCGTCTCCTTTCTGTGACTGGAGTTTTGGGGTCATCAATGGCTTGTTTCTTTGTCTTGGAAGATACTGCTTCCACTATATTTCTTGCAAATTCACTTGCTTGTAGAATTTCTCCCATTGTTTCTTTTAAAAGCATTGCTGGCAATGACATTCGCCGCCATTCATCTGGAAAGAATCAGACGTAGTAGTACGTTGAATAGAGATAACTTACTGGATGTCGAAGAATATTTTAAGAAAATATTTGTTACATAGAAAATTTTAACTTAAACCCACCTGCATTAGCTGGCAATTTTCCTGTGGGAGATCTTCGAGAATTAACAT